TTGCTCTGTTTTTGCAGAAAGAATCATGCACTAGTTGCCAAAATATTCAAATCTAATTCAACATCATTCTGCTAATTTCAGCAGAACTAATGAGGTTCACTGGAGTGAGGGAGCTCCTGAATGTTCCAGTTTTCAGCTCTCTGAAATCATTGATTCAGTTCTGAGAGAGGATCGTGTGAATATCTGTAAAATGTTTCATGGCTGTCAGTGTGACAGTTGGGAACATAATGACACAAAGTGTTGTCATCATGTTCCCATCTCTCTGAGCAGACTGCTTAGAAATGCAGACAATGATTATCGTGTGATTAAGATTAAATGTCTCTGCAATTGTAAATGTTCCCGTCACAGAAAAGCAAAAGTGGAAACTTCGGCTCGTATATGCACCACCCACAGCAGAGGCCTGAGAGGCTACACCAGCAGAATGGCCGTTGGGGTCACAGTTGGCTCTGCTGATGTCGTGCTGCTAGCTCGGCTAAATCCTCGGGCTGAAACGTCATCACGGTGAAGTCTGACGTGGTGCGTAACACCTGCTGCTGTTTGCGTCGCCTGATTTGTAACTCATGAATAAAATATGAACTTCTCGAGGCGTAAGACAGAAATGTGTCATCCTCTCTTCCAGCACGAAGAGCGTTGCCATTGGTAACCAAAGTGCAGCGCTGCCCTTTATTCATCACGCAGAGAAAATAAACTCAAAGGAGAAAAAATGCTTTCTGCCTTCTAAAACAGCCTTTTGGAGTAAAACGCTGAATGAGGCTGAATGTTGCTGTTGGATGTGGGAGGGTGAGATATTGATCCCCTGGTGTGAGACAAACTTGGCAGCTTGGCTGTTAGCAACAGCAGAATGAGTCATCAGCTAGAAGCAACTCAACCCACCTGATGAAATCATTTTCACTTTTATTCCTCCAGCCACTCTCTACATGGGACAACCTGCCCTCAAACATCCTTTTAAGAGTGACTTTGCCATCCTTCAGCAGAATCTTAATGAACACAACAGATGGTGGAAAAAATCAGATTTTCTTTTCTTTGGTTGATTCTATAAATGGCAAAGCCGACATCACCAATCCATCCACCATCCACCAAAAGACCAATTTAGAGTTGTGTTTGTGACAACTTGAATGAAGACAGCTACATTTATCAGACCATTTCTAAAACATAGATGTAGCTAGCGCTGCTACGTCCAGCCGCTCGCACTGAGCCCTAAGAATAGAAGACGTTTCTCTGCAGATGTTATGAAAGGTTAAACGTGCCAAGAAAGCACAAAATGTTCTGCTTTACAGTTTAAGAACTAATAATGCTTTTCTACTCTTCAACTTCTACATCTAAACACTTTTAAACTAACATTCACACTTTTGTACTTCAGTGAAC